TACAAGTGCTAGTCTGAAGAAATGAATACACTTATACTACCTGGACTGGACCTGGGATCTTGCCCTGCCTCTGTAGACTTACTCCAGTCTGTAGATCTGGGTCATAACATGAAAGCAGGCGAGATCCCAAGCCAATACCATACATAAGTTGCTGAACAAAAAAATACTTGTGTACGTAAACTGTCACTTGATTATTGCCTGTCTGTGGGGACTTAAAATGTAGTTCTGAAACAAAATCCTCTTTTCTCATTACGTTTCTCACACTTCTTGATAAATATGAAACCTATTTGACAGTTTTAATTTATTTTTTTTTGAAATCCAGTTAAGGCACCTGCATGGTTTTCTTGTTTTTTTAATCTGAAAATATCAAAGATGGTCAGGTGTATCAAGAGTACAATCAATGTAAGTGAAAAAGCAGGCAATTTATTTTGGAAGGATAGTCCTTTTATTTACCACTGTTGGCCCTTAGTGTATAGCCATATCTTCATTCATATACATGTACTGTTTCCTCAGTTCAAGCAGCCTTTCAAATTAAGTGTGTTTACTTCTAAGCTTCCATAACGAAAGGATTAGACCTTAATATGTTTATATCTATTTCCTTATTCAACCTTCTCCCCCAAAGGAATCTAGACCAAGTTAAATTCTGCTACATGTACTGTAGGAGTTCAATAGAAAAAATTCAGACCAAACAATTTTGTGAAAATCCGTTCAGTCATTATGGACTACCGGGGGTATATGTAATAGAATTTTTACTGTAAAAGTTGACAACTGACAACAGGTGTTGTGCAACAGCTTAAGGTCAGTTGGCCTTTCAGTTCAGGTGAACTTAACTTATGAAGCCCCAGCACTGACCTTAAATCCAAAGGTACCTGGAGCACTACATGACATCTTTGTTTTACATCTGATCCCTTGTCAATTTTGTGTTTGAAGACTTGAATAATTTCTTGACAGAAATTAGTACTACCGTAAAAACCCATGTAATTTGCGCACCTGTGTAATTTGCGCAGGTACTTTTTGAGGCTGAAAATCGGGAAAAAAGCTTCTACTCGAATATTTTGCGCACCCAAAAAATCAATAATAGTATGGGGAAACGCACCGAGATGTCTAAACGTAATGTCGTATGTTGATCGGCGATTCTCTGGCATAGGAATTTGGCTAAACTTTTTTTGTTAACGGTTACCTATTTATCAATACTTTTCACATAAACTCACATAACAACACATTATAGATCTTTTATTAATGTTTGACATAAATAAATTTGTTGATCGTCATTTGTCTTAGAGTTCCGTGTACCAAGGGACATAATCCAAGATGGCGATCTCTCAGAATCGGCGATCTTTTCCTGAAAAAAACTTGAAATTTTCTATACCTGTGTATTTTACGCACCCCCCACTTTGGGTATTAAATTTCTGAAAAAAAAGTGCGCAAATTACATGGGTTTTTACGGTAGTCATTTAGAGGACTGATATTAGTAGGTCAGATGAATTATTGATTATCTCCCTTGTAAGCAGACAGTCCAATCAGTACACCTATTAATATTCCATAGTGTCATGGACTTGGAAATTTAGGTTTGTTGAATGTATATCCCTGGAGTAACAGTTGTCACATTGCTCTACTTATGAGAAAGGTATATTATTAAACAGTTTCTAAAAAGTCATATCCATTGTGAAAGACCATGTCATTTGTTTGAGAACGTGGACTAGAACTACAGGGCTACGGTGTTACCGTAATAATAATAATAAGAAGAATTTGAGGTTCTTATATATCGCTTTATCACAACCTAGTTTGTAGGTTGTCGCAACTTATCATTCACAAATTATATTTCGTGATTATAGGGCCTTTGCAACCAGCCAATATCTTTCTTAACTCCCTGGGGAGCATACAGCCGGTGCTGCCATTCGGTGCTTGCCACTAGCATTCGATAATTCTAGCACTGCCCCCACGTACTCATTTACAGCTGTGTAGACTGGAACAAGCAGAGTACAATATCTTGTTCAAAGATACAACACAGTGCTACGACATGACTCTAACCAGGAACCCTTCGGTCACAACCCCGCTAGATTAGTAGACTACCATACCTCCTATTTGTACAGAGAGAACAAACTTTATACATTGGTTTATGTCAAAAGAATACTATGTATTTTCATCTGTAAATTTTTGGAGACTTTTAAAAAACAAGATGGCTGACTTGGCTTACTACATCTCTCTCTCTTTCTCTCTGTATCTCCCTCTGATTGTACGAGGTGATTTATATGTGGTCCAGGTTTGAGGTTTTGTCAGTGATCTGTTTTTGTTCCTCCTATTTCTACACTTAGGATATTGATTTGTTTGTTTGGGTTTTATATCCTTTTAACAGAGCTGTGGTCTTGGTTTTAGTGGTGGAGGAAAGCCAGAGTATCTGGGGATAAAACCATCAACTTCCGACCAGTACCTGGCGAGTGCTCCACATAGGCCTCAAACCCACAACCCAGTCTTATCCTAAGAGGGCTGTGGTGGCTAATTTTTCAAGGCATCTGACATTCTGCTTCCACTATCCCTCATAGGATAGATAAATTTTCTATACTTTACTTTTAGTGTTGTCTACATAATCACTGCTGGTCACTCGATTTACAGAATAAATTGTGACTTGGTAAAATGTTGAGTTCACTGTTAAATTGCCTTTTGAGTGGTTCAATTATCCGTGGATACCATCACAAAAATATTGAGTTTCAAAAGAAGTAAACATTACACAAACGTTTTTAATCCACCAGAAATTATCACTGAAGTGACCCATAGCCTGTTTCTAACACATTTATATAGAGCTTTGTTGATATTACAGGGTTGTACCAGTAGAGGAGGCTAGCATTGTGATTGACCCGAGTCTATATATATATTTACCCCAAACCTTGTCTACTATTACAGGGTTGTACCAGTAGAGGAGGCTAGCAATGTGATTGACCCCAGTCTATATATATATTTCCCCCAAACCTTATCTACTATTACAAGGTTGTACCAGTAGAGGAGGCTAGCATTGTGATTGACCCGAGTCTATATATATATTTACCCCAAACCTTGTCTACTATTACAGGGTTGTACCAGTAGAGGAGGCTAGCATTGTGATTGACCCCAGTCTATATATATATTTACCCCAAACCTTATCTGCTATTACAGGGTTGTACCAGTAGAGGAGGCTCGCATTGTGATTGACCCCAGTCTATATATATATTAACCCCAAACCTTGTCTTCTATTACAGGGTTGTACCAGTAGAGGAGGCTCGCATTGTGATTGACCCCAGTCTATATATATATTAACCCCAAACCTTGTCTTCTATTACAGGGTTGTACCAGTAGAGGAGGCTGGCATTGTGATTGACCCCTGTCTATATATATATTTACCCCAAACCTTATCTACTATTACAAGGTTGTACCAGTAGAGGAGGCTGGCATTGTGATTGACCCCTGTCTATATATATATTTACCCCAAACCTTATCTACTATTACAAGGTTGTACCAGTAGAGGAGGCTGGCATAGTGATTGACCCCTGTCTATATATATATTTACCCCAAACCTTATCTACTATTACAAGGTTGTACCAGTAGAGGAGGCTAGCATTGTGATTGACCCCTGTCTATATATATTAACCCCAAACCTTATCTACTATTACAGGGTTGTACCAGTAGAGGAGGCGAGCATTGTGATTGACCCCAGTCTATATATATATCTACCCCAAACCTTATCTACTATTACATGGTTGTACCAGTAGAGGAGGCTAGCATTGTGATCGACCCCAGTCTATATATATATTAACCCCAAACCTTGTCTACTCTTACAGGGTTGTACCAGTAGAGGAGACTAGCATTGTGATTGACCCCAGTTTATATATATATTTACCCCAAACCTTATCTACTATTACATGGTTGTACCAGTAGAGGAGGCTAGCATTGTGATCGACCCCAGTCTATATATATATTAACCCCAAACCTTGTCTTCTATTATAGGGTTGTACTAGTAGAGGAGGCTAGCATTGTGATTGGCCCCAGTCTATATATATATTTACCCCAAACCTTATCTACTATTACATGGTTGTACCAGTAGAGGAGGCTGGCATTGTGATTGACCCCTGTCTATATATATATTAACCCCAACCCTTATCTACTATTACAGGGTTGTACTAGTAGAGGAGGCTAGCATTGTGATTGACCCCTGTCTATATATATATTTACCCCAACCCTTATCTACTATTACAGGGTTGTACTAGTAGAGGAGGCTAGCATTGTGATTGGCCCCAGTCTATATATATATTTACCCCAAACCTTATCTACTATTACAAGGTTGTACCAGTAGAGGAGGCTAGCATTGTGATTGACCCCAGTATATATATATATTAACCCCAAACCTTGTCTACTATTATAGGGTTGTACTAGTAGAGGAGGCTAGCATTGTGATTGACCCCTGTCTATATATATTAACCCCAAACCTTATCTACTATTACAGGGTTGTACCAGTAGAGGAGGCGAGCATTGTGATTGACCCCTGTCTATATATATATTTACCCCAACCCTTATCTACTATTACAGGGTTGTACTAGTAGAGGAGGCTAGCATTGTGATTGACCCCTGTCTATATATATATTTACCCCAACCCTTATCTACTATTACAGGGTTGTACCAGTAGAGGAGGCTAGCATTGTGATTGACCCCAGTCTATATATATATTAACCCCAAACCTTGTCTACTATTATAGGGTTGTACTAGTAGAGGAGGCTAGCATTGTGATTGACCCCTGTCTATATATATATTTACCCCAAACCTTATCTACTATTACAGGTTTGTACCAGTAGAGGAGGCTAGCATTGTGATTGACCCCTGTCTATATATATTTACCCCAAACCTTATCTACTATTACAGGGTTGTACCAGTAAAGGAGACTAGCATTGTGATTGACCCCAGTTTATATATATATTAACCCCAAACCTTGTCTACTATTATAGGGTTGTACCAGTAGAGGAGGCTAGCATTGTGATTGACCCCAGTCCATATATATATATTTACCCCAAACCTTGTCTACTATTTATACAGGGTTGTACCAGTAGAGGAGGCTAGCATTGTGATCGCAGTGTCTTCCCCACACAGAAAAGAAAGTCTAGAGGCAGTCGGTTATGCCATCGACACTGTCAAGGCAGTTGTACCTATATGGAAAAAGGTCAGTGCACCAGCGAACCAAATTTATAAATGATATAGATGTTTAACATGTGACTGAAGAGATTACTTCTTGAAAAAATGTTTCAATTTTCATAGGCAGAAAATTTAGTTTCTCAAGACTTATTACACTGTATGATGAATTGGATGTGTATGGACTTTTCTCTTTTGTTTCATTTAATGTTTTTATATTTTGCAGGAAATCTATGCTGACGAGAGTTCAGCCTGGAAGGAGAACAAAGAGTGCATATGGACTTCTTGACGTCAGACTTGTTGTAGTTGACTAGCATGTCTATTTAGGTCCAAATCAATACAGTGAAACCTGCTATTACCAAACCCCATGTTACATTTTGTAACTTATTAGTCCCCTGGTTGGTACTGCCAGACCATTTACACTTCATCTGTCTGTCCACGAGTAACTTTGTCATATCTCAAATATATAATCAGCAAAAAAAATCAAATATTGTATGCGAGTATACCTCGCGGAATGGTAGAGTGTTCTGTGCTAAAACTGTGTCTTGTACTCACTATATACAGTTAAAGCCGTTTTGTTCAATGTGTATAACTTTGTTTAGGGCATACAATTGCCAAACTTTGTATTAACTCATTGACCACTGAAATTTCACAATGAACTATTCCAACCTTTGAATTGAAAGGGTTCAAATGTGTCTTCAGGGGTGAATGATATGTAGAGTTGTGTCCCTTCGTTCACTGTATGTCATTCTGTCTGGGGCATTACCAAAATTTGTATGTGAAAGATTACAAGACATACCCGTAGTATTATTTACCATGCTATTTCACAGCTGATATTACACATTGTGTGGATGAAAGTTATAGTTCAACATTATATATTAGTCATATTGTAATTGGTTTGTGGTTTTGTAACTATGTTTACATGAATTTGGTATTGGGGAAATTATAGAATTTGTACAATGGATTTTTTGGCCACCTGAACCAAAGGACAGCTGAGCTATTTCAATCAGTTGCTGTCTGTCATCAGTCTGTAATTTTTTTCTTTGAATGTCTTCTTCTCAAGAACCACTGGGCCAATTACAACAAAATTTGGCAAAAAGTATTACAAGGTGATGTTGATTCAGATATCTATACACACGGCCACTAGCGGCAGCTTTGCAATACATTGTGCAATAAATTAAAGTTTAAAAGCTTAAACAAACTCACATGAAGAACCAAATGGCCTAGTGTTAATAAATGACATTTAGACAGTGACTTGGTAGTATAAAGTACCAAAACGTTTGAAATAGTTTGTTTTGATTGGTTTATAGGGTTTAACATCCTTTTGACAACTAAGGTCATACATATATGCAAGACCACACACTTGTGTTTTTCTAACGAATCAGAAAGCACTCAATCATTCTGCGGACAAATATATTCCGCACGAGTGAATATTTACGTCCGCACAATAAATGAGTGCTTTCTGATTCGTTAGAAAAACACAAGTGTGTGGTCTTGCTTTTATCACATACCATCCGTATTTGGTAAAGATCGATACAAACATTTTATAAACTTCGATATTTTTTGCAAATATCGGGAACTTTTAAGTTTACCATGATAAGGGGATTCCCATAAAAAGTAGTTCCGTCTAGTAGGTAAATACAACATTCCGTATTGCACTTGTACAATACAGAATGTTGCACTTCATGGTCTGAAAATTGCTTGTATTACTATAACAAGATTCAACAGGTATGTGATAAAAGGCGTGCCTCCATGTGTGTAATGTACATTGAATGTATATGTGTGCTGGAGGTGATAGGTTGGTATGTTTTCCTATTTGTGACGGGGCAGAGTAGTGCTATCCCTCTGAAATACCACATTATAGACGCCCAGCACTCCACCTGGTCATATTATTCTACACCAGGTTAACCAGTTGTTGCGTTTACTCCAAATTCAAAGTCACAGAGGTCGAGTTTGTTGAAATGCTCAGATGACTTATTTCTAAAGAACCAAAATTCCTTCTGTCATGATATCTGACCAGTAACTTTCTTAAGTGTGGTTTTGGGGAGTTTGGTAAAAAGAAAAACACTCAACAGGTTAGCGGCTTCAGACCCGGCCCCTTGGCTTCTTGTATGAACTTCTGTAAGCTTAGTACGTTTTTGGTTGGTTCTATATAAACAGTAGAATAACATGGTTGGTTCTATATAAACAGTAGAATAACATGGTTGGTTCTATATAAACAGTAGAATAACATGGTTGGTTCTATATAAACAGTAGAATAACATGTCTTCATGTATTTCTGGACTTTGGTTCACTTAGGATTATATAACTTTGGTTGGTATAAAAAGAGTTTGAATTACATGTATATGTTAACCATTATTATTTTACTAGAAATTAAGAAGTTGTAAGAAGTCTGTACAAATAAAAAATAGATATGCACACAATCAGATTATTTTGTTGTATACTTGTATGTTTATTTTTGAACTAAATTAAATCTTACAATTTTTAAATTTAATTTCATTTAATGATTTGTTTAACTCTTAGATAGCTACACACAACAATTGGAAACATTTAAAATCTTATCTTATTAAAAGAATTCTTCTATTCATTACCTGTTCATACTTAAATATTTTTAAGAATGTGTCACATTCATATGTCCTATACGGTATTCATTACTTTGATAGGAATATGCATTTATTAAATAAAATATTTTTATGTAAACAGATATTACAGACATAACCTGTCGAAATGTTATTCAGGTACATTGATATATGGTTTAGATCGATATATTATGTTTGATTATTATTCATATTTACTATCAAGTTATTATTGATTAATAGTGGTGTAAGTTTTCATAACATTTATTAGCTCACCGGGTCCGAAGGACCAAGGTGAGCTTATGCCGTACTGTGGCGTCCGTCCGTCAACAATTTCTTTAAACGACTTCTTCTTCTTAACCACTGATTGGAATTTAACTAAATTTGACTGGAAGCATTCCTAGGTGGTGGGGATTCAAAATTGTACAAATCTTGGGGCTGAGGGGCCGGGCCAAAAGGGGGCAATTTGGCTATATTGCTTTAAGCGACTTCCTCTCTGGAACTAAGAGATAGATATCAACCATATTTGACTGGAAGCATCCCTAGGTGGTGGGGATTCAAAATTGTACAAATTTTGGGGCTGACCCCCTGGGCTAAGGGGTGGGGCCAAAATAAGTTTTATCACTTGGAAATGGTTGAGATCCCCACCGTATAACCATATATACAATTGCTGAGTATGAAGAGAAGAATGCACAGTTGCTTCCAGGTTGGCCCTAGGGTCTGGCCCCACCCTTGGAGACATAGTCCCTGTGTCATAACTTTGAAACGGTTGAGATCCCCTCCCCAAAACTATATATACAAATGCTGGGCATAAAGAGATGAATGCAGTCATGATAATAGAATAGACCCTGCGGTCTGACTGAACCCCTAGGGACCTAGTTTCTTAGTCACAGCTTGAAAGCAGTTGAGATCCCCACCCTATAACCATATAAACAATTGCTAAGTATAAAGAAATGAATGCACATATGCTTCCAGGATGGCCTTGGGGTCTGCCCCACCCTTGGAGACTTA